TTTTAATCACACTTACAAATATTTATACATTTCATTATTGAAAAACAATGTATATGTTTTCCGTTTGTTAAAAAATATTTCGTTATTATACGTTTGTTATGTCTCACAAATTCATTTATCGTAAGTTCTATAATTTAGACGAATAACAAAGATCTATTTTATATTTAAAGGATATTAAAATAAATAATATTTGCATATGTTTTTATCAGTTTACAAACAAAAATGTTAAAACTAATAACATTAACATATGTTTGATCAAAAGTATTCAACTTATTCATTTTATGCACAATATATATCATTTTTGTACGCTTACTGATATTAGAAATTATATATTTTTGTACGCTTACTGATATTTTAAATTATATATTAATTGAGGGGATACTAAAAAAGTATCATAGGTGTCAATCAAATAGCAATTTAAGGGACACATCATTTCATTTAACCAATCAAAACATTCACTTAAAAGTATATGCAATGGTGGAAATTTTCTACATATTCTCATTAAAATTTAACATAAACTCATTAATACATGTTTTAAGATTTTAAACCCAAACATTTTAGACTTAGCATAACATCTATTTTTTTTTAAATATTAACGATGTAGTTATAACAGTTATCTATCGTGTATTTATGTATTTAGATTAGTATACTATACAAATATTTTTATTATGATATGTACTCTACTATATATTTTTAATCACACTTACAAATATTTATACATTTTATTATTGGAAAAATGTATATGTTTTCCATTTGTTAAAAAATATTTCGTTATTATACATTTGTTTTGTCTCACAAATTCATTTATCGTATGTTTTATAATTTACACGAATAACAAAAATCTATTTTATATTTAAAAGATATTAAAATAAATAACATTTGCATATGTTTTTATCAATTTACAAACAAAAACGTTAACACTAATAGCATTAACATATGTTTGATCAAAAGTATTCAACTTATTCATTTTATGCACAATACATATCATTTTTGTACGCTTATTGATATTAGAAATTATATGCTTTGTCATACACGTTTAAATATTAAAAATTATATATGTTCAAATCGATTAATCAATTTATCCAATCATTTAAACCCGCGCTTGGACGCAGACCAAAATCTAGTTATATAAAAATAAATAACATTGAGTGCAAATAAACTTTGGTAAGATATGTTTATCACTAATGGAGAGAGAAAAGAAGAGCTCAATAGTTAAACGAATATTTTGTTAATTTCAATCCGACATAATGGATGTAGAAGTAGTCCAAACTAAAAATAAAAGAGATTACAATATTCATTCTCAATAGGATCGACCATTGGCGTTCAATGTGAATGGTGACATGACTGATGTTTTGTTCCTTCATGATGTAATCTATAACCTTGTCAAGAACTATATCCGCATGAACCTCTGGCCTAATCTTTACATGACACGCCAACAAATTTTTTCCAAGAGTGATTGACTAAATGTGAACCTCATGAACTGCCACAACCTCTTCTATCTCGCACACTCCCTTTTCCAGCTTCATCGCGTCTATCTCGCTTGGTGTTGACTCCATTAAAACCTCTAGAATATTCCTCAACATCCCTATGGTAGTCCCCAACACAACCACTGAAAAACAAGTGTGCATATGAGATCAATGATCTTCTACTCGGGTTTGTACCATATGATTAATTGAGGGGATACTAGAGAAAATATCATAGGTGTCAATCAAATAGCAATTTATGGAACACATCATTTCATTTAACTAATTAAAACATTTCACTTAAAAGTATATGCAATGGTGGAAATTCTCTACATATTCTCATTAAAATTCAACATAAACTCATTAATACATGTTTAAATTTTTAAACCCAAATATTTTAGACTTAGCATAGCATCAATTTTTTTGAAATATTAACAAGCTTTTACACATTTCATTATTGGAAAACAATGTATATGTTTTCCGTTTATTAAAAAATATTTCGTTATTATACATTTGTTATGTCTCACAAATTCATTTATCGTAAGTTCTATAATTTACACGAATAACAAAGATCTATTTTATATTTAAAAGATATTAAAATAAATAATATTTGCATATGTTTTTATCAATTTACAAACAAAAATGTTAAAACTAATAACATTAACATATGCTTGATCAAAAGTATTCAACTTATTCATTTTATGCACAATACATATCATTTTTGTACGCTTACTGATATTAGAAATTATATGTTTTGTTTTAAATATTGAAAATTATATATGTTCAAATCGATAAATCAATTTATCCAATCATTTAAATTCGCGCTTGGATGCGGACCAAAATCTATATAGAAATAAATAACATTGAGTGCAAATAAACTTTGGTAAGATATGTTTATCACTAATGGAGAGAAAAAAAGAAGATCCCATTAGTTAAACGAATATTTTGTTAGGTTTCAATCCGACATAATGGATATAGAAGTAGTCCAAACTAAAAATAAAAGAGATTACAATATTCATCCTTAATAGGATCAATCATTCGCGTTCAATGTGAATGGTGACGGAACTGATGTTGTGTTCCTTCATGATGTCGTCTATAAGACACGGTGGATTTTTTGCGGCGTAGGCACATAATACGTGTCCAAAACTGATTGTATGATAATATACGAAAAGCGTTTGTATATTTTTCCAGAAGATCCACATCATCACCAATTTTGGGACTTGAAGTCCCGCAAGCTATTTCAATTTTGAGAAAAAAATTCAATTTTATATTAATCAATTTTTCTTTGATTACAAATTAAATACATATTTTCATGATTATAAAAAGAAATAATTGATCTTTCGATAGTATAAATTAACAAAGAAAACATAGAACCGTATTTCTCTTACATTTATCGTAGTTTTTAACGGTTGTCAAAAAAATCCCACCAAAATTCTTTACACGTGTTTATGAAAGGCTTTTCCAAAATTATGATTTATTTCAATATTTAAAAATTTTACAGGTCGAGAAAATAGGAATATTTGGTTCTAGTGGGTAGGAGAGACTATTCAGTCGAAAAGAAGAAGCTCCCATATCTTCCAATTACGTAAATCGGTTGACTCATAACCGAGTCAGCGACTCGTCCGACGATTCCAATTCGAGGAATCTCACGAGTTCCACTTT